GTTTTATTTTTTTAATAAAAAATCATACCCAGTATTAATCAGCATATGATCCTCAATACAAAATAATGCATAAATCTGAAGGATATGCATATGCAATATGCATAATATTCATTGCACAGTATTCTGAGTCTACTAATTCAGTAAAACCACAATCATCTTTTGATATTAAATTCTCTGTTGAACAGAACATTTAATTGGAAAGGTCACAGAGTTATTTACTAACTTACCTTTTGTTCCAAAACCATTTGTAGCTGGGAGGAGGCTGTGACAGGGCTTGGCGTAAGTGCCTCGGGGACCACCGGAGCAGGGTGCAGGGCAGGCGTGACGGCGGAGGGGAGCTCTCAGACCCTTGTCTCCCCCTCCCCAGTCCCCAAGGGTACAGAGAAGAGAACCATAGGGCTGGAAGACACCTGCAGGAGAGAGCACAGGGGACCGGATCCTTCACCTTCCAGCCAGGCAGCTGGGGCTGCAGCCTCTGCTGTTACTACTGTGAACGCAGCTCCTGCTCTGCCCAGCCCCGGCGCTGTCCTTACCGGCACGCTCCCTGTGGCACTCGTGCACAAGCTGTGTGCACACAACAGTTGTGTGCCTTTTGCAGGCATGCAGGGCATCAAGTATGTTGCCAGCAGCTCGGCCAGACCAGAGCAGGCTGCAGCGTGGGAGGAGGAATGACCCCGGGAGCTGGGGGAGCTCACAAGCAGGGTGCAGCCTTTGCCCAGAAACACTGCCAGGAGCCAGGGCTGCATCCGCTAGCGCAGGCATATGCCGCATGGGAAGGAGGGATCAGGGTGGGGAGAACCCAGGGGGGTGGGAGAGCTGACCCAATGCAAAGTCCCTCGCAGCAGGGCTCTGGCAGCCGGCACCCGTGAGTGGCCCGGGGAGGCAAAAGGCTGCATTAGCATCACACACCAGGAAGGGGCTGCGCCGCAAAGCTGAAGCCCAGGGAGACCCAGCCATATGCAGGTGGAGACTGCTGGGTGCTGGGCAAAGCAAGGGGAGGAGGAAAAAGCCAGCAGCATGCAGCAAGGAGGGAGGCCGTACCGCCAGCGTGCAGAGCCCAGGCCGCCCTGCCTGGCTCCCGCGCTCAGGTGGGGCTCGTGGCCCAGCCAGCGCCTGAGCGATAGCAAGCGAAAGAAAAGATTAATAATGATGGGTACAGAAGCTCCTTATTTTTTGCTTAGATCCAGCCTTGGCAGTGGGGAGCAGCCACGAGGGGTCGTCCTCCACCCCTCCAGGCAGCCCAACACACGATGGGGGGCAGCTGGAGCCCCGGGGCCGGCTGGCGGGGCTCAGAGGTCGCTGCTGCAGTCGCGGCACAGGATCTCGTCTTTGTCGGGGATGAAGCCCTTGCCAACCAGCGAGGTGTTGCAGCGCGCGCAGTTGAAGCAGTTGTGGTGCCAGTGGCGCGTCTCGAAGGAGACGTATTTGCCACCGCCGAAGCCTGCGGGGGAGTGGAGAGGGACAGAGCGTGGGTGAACAGGGCACGTGGCCACTCTGCAAGACCCCGAGCGCCGCATGCTCGCCCCTCCCCACCTCTCCACTCACCTGTGATGGGCTTCGAGCAGGCGCTGCACTTCTTGGCATACAGGCTGCCGAAGCAGTGGATGCAGTAGGGGTTGTCGTCCTGGGAGGTGAACTGCTGCCCAGCCAGGGGCGTCTTGCAGCCGGTGCAGACGAAGCACTCCTTGTGCCAGGGCTCGTCCCGGTAAGTCACGCCACCCTTGGTCAGAGACTGGCAGGGAGGAGAGAGCGTCCGTTACCCTGAGGCCTTTGCATGCCCTGCCCTGCCCTGCCGGGAGCAGCAAGCAGACAGCAGTCTGGAGCCCCCTTCCAGCACAGCAGCATGGGGGCCACGAGGAGGACATGGACAGCCTGCCAGCCCCGCAAAGAGATGCAAAGGCCCCCACTGAGCCAGCCCAGTGGCCTGCATGTAAGAGGACCCTTCGCTCTGCCTCTTCCCCAGGAGACTCCAGATCTGGTATGGACTTGCCTCCAGCAGGAGCCAGACGGTGCTTGGGAGAGCAAGATGCACCGGGAAAAAACACGGAGGGAAGAGTGACCCACGTCCTGTCCCTGGAAGCGCCGGGCACAGGCTGAGCTGAGCTCCCACCTCTGCCTGAGTCTGGCACCGGAGCAGCGTCCAGGCCGTACCTTTTTGCAGCGAGTGCAGCGCGGAGCAAACTTGGTCTCGTAGCACGGGACGCAGTAGTAGTCCTTCTTGTCGGGGATGAAGGACCGTGATCCGATGGGCTGCTGGCAGCTGCTGCAGATGAAGCAGTGCTCATGCCAGGTCTGCCCATTGTACTCCAGCTTACGGGACCCTGTGGGGGGAAAGGGCTGGGCTGAGCAGGCCGCGCAGATGGCATGGCTCCATGCGCCTCTCCCCACCCCAGCACCCTCCTGCCAACCCGCTGCTTCGGGGGTGAGTATAGATGATGGGTTGCACAGGGCTGATCCTGCCTCAGACAGGGCTTGGACAAGATGTGACCTCTGGAGATCCCAGCCAGCTCCACCCTCTAGGATTTGAGGAAGCCGGTTCCCTGGTGCAGGCTTCATCCCAATGGGATGCCTGGGAAAGCCTGTGCGGAGATGCAGCCCCCAGGATACCCGTGCAGCAGGGAGAGCTCTCCAGAGGGCTGGGGATCCCTCACCCAGCACCCAAGCAGGCAGGCAAAGCCAGGCAGCACCCCCAACCCCACTTGCAAACTCCCAGGGATCTCCTGCTCTCAGCAACAACCCAACTGCAGCCCAGGCCAAGGTCCACCCCATCACCCTTTCCTCCGAAGCGGGGAATGCTGCCAACATCCTAGCTCCGAGCTCTCGGTGCGATGCTGCCTGCTTCCCCATTTGACCATGCCCTGGGGAGGGGGCAGCAGGCTCTCAAACAGCCCTCAGAGGGGCCCAATATAGGGACCCAGGTGCCCCAGCCAGCCCCACGGCCCTACCTGGCATGACGGTCTTCTCGCAGGCGATGCACTTGGAGGAGAACTCGCTGCAGTAGCAGTCATTGCACAGCAGCTCCTCGTCCTGGCAGGTGAAGGGCTCGTCGGCCAGGGAGCGGTCGCAGCGGAAGCAGCGGAAGCAGTGCTCGTGGTAGTGCCGGTCCTCGTAGTACAGCTCCTGTGGGGACAGCAGGCGGGAGCGCGTCACCCACAGCCGGGGCCTGGGGAGGGGGAGCCCCGCGGGGCAGCGCCTGCCCGCACTCACCCGGCAGTCGTGGCCGATGAGCTCCTTGCATTCATCACAGGTGTTGGCGAAGTGGGCATCGTAGCAGGGGATGCAGTAGGGCCCATCGTCCATCTGGATGTACTTGCGCCCGTACAGCGACTCCTTGCAGTTGTCGCAGTCAAAGCACTCTGTCATGGTGCCGCTGGTGGGACCGCCCTTGCCTGCTGGGAGACACCGTGGTCCAGGGACATGAGTTCGGGGCGGCTCGCCTGCCACGCACTGGGCACCCCTTCCCTCCCCTGTGACCCCGCGGGCAGGATCCAGCTCTCTGCGGGGCAGAACAATCACCTGCTCCCGTGTCATCCCCGTGCTGCCCTCCCACGGGACCAAGCCTCCCAGAGCGGGCGGCTGGGACTCGCCTCGCAGCACGCTCGCCGGGGCCATTCACGGGCCAGCGCCCCAGCCGGCCAGCTGTTGCCACGCCTGCTGCATGAGGAGATAGCACTGCTGGTGAATGAGGCTACTGTTCCCCCAGGGCTAAGTGACAGATAGGGAACAAAGTCCCTTTTCAGACCCACATGTTAACCAGCTGCTGCCCTGCCCCACCTCCCTCCCTCCCACCCGGGGCACGTGGCCGGCAGGGGCGTGGGAACACCTGCACGTCGAGCCTCGCTGTCAGCCATCCCTCGTCCACCACAAGGGAGCTGTCAAGGTACCTCCAAAGGCCAAAGCCATGGGCACC